ATATATGTGTGTATATATATATATATTTTTTTTTTAATGAGTGCCCAAGATTAGAGGTGATACTGGAGTTTTACTTTTAGTAGGAGTGTTACGGCACTTGCAACGCAGCAAGGTCAAATAAGTGCCTGAGATTAGAGGTGTTACAAGAGAGTACCGTAACAAACGCAAAAAGAGAGGAGACATGAGGATGATAGAATTTTGATAGGGTAGAAGGAGAAAACCAAACCAGAGCACCCGCCAACTACCAACAATATTTGGCTTCTTGTCTTCCCATTAACATTTTACTAAGACACGTGAGCTTTTTTGATTGATTGAGTGGGTGTTTTACGGCACTATCGACTCAATACACGAGAGCGGCTACTACAAAACACAAAACAGACTCAAAAGCACATTCGTAACTGATCATCACTGATGAAAATCTACATTATATTAATGAGTAAGCACAGCCTCCCGAGAATACAATGCACACCCTCCTGAGTCCGCCTGCTACTTCGCTACCTCAGAATTACCAAGCTCTATCTGATATTATTTCGGGCCGTTTTGAGCTTCTAAGACCATGCGGTCAGAAATCAATTATTGTTCTCTCTGCTCTTTCGAAATCGTAAAATTATTCGGAGTCGTTTTCAAGACATTCAAAGAAGAGCATTCGAAAAAGCTTGACCTGACATGATGTGAAACTCAAAATTTTTAACGTCAAATTTCTCAAAACAAGATCATCTAGATCTAGGTACTGGGCAGATAGAACTTTGTAATTCTAGGTTAGCTACTAAGACTTGCTGTTCTAGATACCAAGATCTTTCCAGTGCAATAACGCTTTTTGGAGGCGTCCGTTGTCGTATTATTTATTTCGTTGGTTCCCATGACTTGACAGACAAAAACAGACACAATGTCTTCGTGTCGTTGTTATGCTTCAGTCTCTTTCGTCGTGCTCAGTCGCCATTTCAACTTTTATGACCCGTGTATCATGACCATTGTGCATTGTCAATAAGTCGTGAACATAGTTGTTATGTTCCATCTTTTAATTATGACATATGGTCGCTTTTAAGGACAAGCGGGTTAACTCAGATTTCAGGGGTTTCCAGAAATCTTGACCTACACCAAAAGTGGGCATTACTCTACCTATCGGAGAAGTTTGGTTTCATTGGTGTGTATATGTGTTGGTTATGGAGAAAACTCTCCTTGTCTTTTAAAGAAACTGAACAAGGAGCAAAAACTTTACCTTCGATTTTCTCAAAACAGCATTTTCCGGGACAGCATCCTTGTGCTTAAAAGCGACCAATTATGACATAATAATAAAATATGTACAGTATACCACTATCGCACAGACCCCCCACTGGACACAGCTCTTCCTTTGTCATAGCTAAATCTCATAATTCATGATGACTTCAGGCTTTACGCAGAGCACTATTTGGACAATAATTCTTAATGCAAATATTGGTCAGCTTGATTGTTTGTTTGTTTGTTTGTTTGTTTGTTTGAGAAGGTGTTTTACGGCACTGTCGACTCAACATAGGTCAGCTTGGATCATAAAATGAACACATTAATAGTATGCAATAGTTAAAAAGGTATAAGTTACAACTTTACATTAAAAAGAACACAGGTGAAAGATAAATACAGGTATATATTATTATGAGGTAGGTGTGACAACACCTCATTTCACCGGCCTCTGGAAGTTTGTATTAATGTTAATTATAATTTATTTATAATGGCCTGGGGAAGAACCTGGAAAACAACACCAGTTTGCCAGAAAAGAAAATGTTCAAATCAATAATTATTTGCCTGTCCTTTTTTTCCGGGG